TCTCCCGTTAGAATGTAAGTTTTTCATGAGACAAAATTCTGGATTTTATGGTTCACTGCTGTGCCCTCAGTGCCTAGAACAGTGACTAATATGTGATAAATGTCTGTAAATGTTTGGTTCATGAATGGAAGGAGGGATGGATGGATGGATGGAGGGAGGGATGGATGGATGGATGGATGGGTGGGTGGATGGATAGATGGATGGATGGATGGATGGGTGGGTGGATGGGTGGATGGGTGGATGGATGGGTGGGTGGATGGGTGGGGAGATGGATAGGTGAAGAGCAAAGGTTTTAACTCATAGAATGAAAATGCTATATTTTAATCTAAGGATGAATCCCAGTTGTGATAAGGGAATGTTAGAGATGGGAAAGGTCTCTTTGTTTTATTTCTTTTTAATTTTAAAAATAAAAGGAGGAAAATATTTTGTAAAATGTCGACGGTCTCTTTGCTTCTATTCTTCAAAGCCATAAGAAGGCTCGCTCGGCTGGGATCTCTCTCGAATTAACCAAGGAGATTCTGGCTTCTTTGCACCTGTCTGTGGCTGGGGCTTTGGCTTTATAATTCCCCCACCTAGTGGCCACAGTGTGTATTCCGCAAGGGATTAGAGAACCACTTTGCAGAAACGCTGTTAAGGGACCAAGCACTCTCGCTTTGAGGGAGCCCTTCCAGCTGTTTGGATCCCTGCCATGGGTTTTGGAACCTCACAGTTATCACATCTTGCTAGTAAGTATTCCTTAAAGTGGAAATATATTCCCTTAGAAAAACAAACAGCATTTACAAAACTATCATCTTCTGAACACTGATGATTTGCAGAGGGCAATAATTTGGGTGTTGATTTCAGGGCTTGTGAATAGTGTCTATTTGTACCAAATGGTAAGTCTAAGTGTAAATATTGAACATGTCTCTTTGGACATGAAATTAATGATAAAATGGGCATGTTTTTCATTTTTTAAAAAAATAGGCACATATCTGTCTCTGTTTTATTGGCTATATCGTGAGCTGCATTGTAAGGTTGCCGAGAGACCCTGACAGCCATCTCCTTCCATCTTTATGGTCTCCTATAGATCTGGGGACCCCCTCAGGACCTGCTCATTGCAATATGTAGCAGTATGAGCCAAGGGAGAGGAGCTGGAGAACAGTACAGGATTCAGAGTCCGACAGGGCCAGGTTTGCATTCTACCATATCACTTCTTACTTCTGCCACCTAGGCCAGGACACTTAACTTTGCTGAGACTCGTGTTTTTGTCTATAAAGAAGACTAATGAATCTATCATAATGGTATTGTTATTCCCATTTTACGGGTGAGGAAGTGACACAGAGTAGAAATAGTAGCCTCTGCTCAGAGTTGCACAGGAGCTGAGGGCCAGAGCCAGGGCTCCTATCCAGGTCTCCCCAGTGCTCGAGGTCGGTTCCTTGGCATGCACCCACTTAAGCTGGGTGAATAAGTACAGCATATGTACAAACGGCTTAGGCATTATTTTAAAATGGCCAATGTTTCTAAAAGTGGACCTTAATATAGCACAATTATCTTATGCGTTTTCTATGGTTTGGGGGTGTATTAGTCTCTGTCAATCTGTGCTTTTGATAATTAACTTCATGAGAACTTACATAATAAATAAATGAATCTGATACTGGAAAACTAAATTTTAAAAGGGGAGCAGAGAGGAAGGGGGGGAAGAATTGAGATGTGTTGTATACACGTACCAACCCCCCACAATGAAGGTGATTATTATGTACAGCAAACATGTGTGCATAAATAGTTTTTAATAAACAAAAACAAACCCCACGCACTTCCTCGCCTGTCTGATGTCAGCCTCGGCCCGTCGCTGACTGTTGCAGCCCCGTCCCCTCCACCTCCGAGGCTAACTGGTGGCTCAAGGCTGTTTTGATGGTTCCTCTGTTTGGCATCAGTTCAGCAAGAGGTGAAAGGATCTCCCTCCTTTTTCCAATTAGAACCCCCAAAAACATCTGCTAAATGCTTTGAAATCTCCAGATGAAAGGGCTGCTTAAAATACCATATATAATTTGTTAGGAATCCACACATGCATTTTAGATTCTTTGCCTTTTTAATTTGTTGGCTAAACAAAGCAAAGGCAAGCAGCTCTGTTCTTTGATTTCTTCTTCAAAAGACCCAGTTATTTCAGATCCTATTTATCTTACCTCTATTTCTATGCTCCATTTTCTGCTGTTTCTTGCACTTGTTCTGTTTGCTTATTCATAGTACATTTTAAATCATTTTAATCAACAATGAAATGTCAGCCCAGATGCCTTGTTTTGCAAACCTTTTAGAATGCCAAGGAGAAATAATGCACAAATCTATATTACTTGCCCCACTCAGACACACACAAATCATAAGCATGCTTTTTCTGGTACACATTCCCCATAAAATGCTTCCTGTTCCCAGTGGTTCCTGGACTTGCTCACTTATTTATGTATCCATCTGTTATTTCATTCATTCATCAAATATTTACAACAACCTACTATACACTTGGCTATGGGACAGACCCTGGGGATATCCAGATGAGTAAAACCCAGAGGTAGCACAGAATAAAAGGAGTTTAGAATCAGACAAATGTAGATTTTTCTTCATCTGGGCTTTAACATTTTCTAGCTGTATGACTTTAGCAAGTTCCCTAACCTCCTCAAGACTTGATTTCCTCATCTGCAGAATAGAAATTGATTGCTGGTGCATTTAAAAGTACCTGGTACTGAATGAACGGTGGATGCTAAAATGTTACAAAAGCATAACTTTGGCTGTGTAGCTTCAGGATGGTCTCTATCTTCAAAGGCCTCAGATCTAGTGGGCACTGTAGACATGCCATACATATAGACCCAAGGTCATCCTTTAGTATCCATAGGGCACTTAGTTACAGGATTCCCACAGACACCAAAATCTACAGTTGCTCACATCCCTTGTATACAATGGCATAGTACTTGCATATGACCTACACACATCCTCCCGCAAACTTTAAATAATCTCTAAATGACTTGTAATAATTGATTCAATGTAAATATCGTGTGGGTCATTGTTACACAGTATTGTTTAAGGAATAGTGACACGGAAAAATGTCTGAACATGTTCAGTAGGATACAACTTTTCCCCAATATTTTTAATCTGAGATTAGTTGAATTCCAAATGTGCAGGACCTATGAAGAGGAAGAGTCAACAACACAGCCTAAGGAAATTATCTCTGCCGAGGGCAAAGGTTCAGCTACATTAATGCCCCACAAAGCATTGTTTTTAAATGCCAGAAAACCAGAAAACAACCAAAACCAGTAGTAAAATAATACAGTAATAAGAAAGAATATTGCCTATGGTTTTAAAGTAATGTTAAAATCATTTCTAAGAACAACTGCGTAATGACATGAGTGTTCATAATGCAATGTTAAGTATAAAAGTCAAGAACCACAACTGTGTGTGTCATGTGTAACCAAATACACAGTGTTTTAAATCCATGTGTGTATTGAATTTTAAAAACCCAAGTGGTATTTTTCTCTTTGTTTGGGGATTAAATGCCATGTTTTCTTTATCCTTTTAGCATTTGGCATGATTTTGACCCCTGAGCATACTTTGCTTTTGTAGATTGGAAAGCAAACACAAAATATTTTTAAAACAATAGCAGTTTCCATTCCCCAGGGGCTACCATTGCTGTTTTCACAAACACTACTGAAAAGGGGGCTCACCTGAGGGCTGGCTCCCACCCCCTGCTGACACCCACAGTGTGGTAATTTGAGTCTGCTGCACAGAATGACCCCTGAGAGCCGGGCCTATTCCTCACCATGATTGTCCCATGTGTAGTATTCCAGGCCCCCTCTCAACCTTAGTCCCTGCTAGCATCTGCTTGCACAGCTCTTTCTATAAACATCAGTTTAACTTGGTGAGAGCAGAAAACCATGAAAGACTGTAGCTTGAAGCTGTACTCACCTGCTTCTCATCCTCAGAACACCCCTGTGAAGCACAGCCATGCTTTGCTCACCCAAGGGAAAGTGCTCTGAGAGACACATCCATCCTTAGGTGACTTGATCCCGCAGACATCACAGAATGCCTGGGGCGGTAGCCAAATGCACATCTAGGCCATGTGGTACACATATAGAGGGCAGCCTATTTCTCCTAGTGGCACAGTGACAAAGCAACATGAGATTAAATCCATCACAAGCAACATGATGTAGTCAAAGGTATGAGGTGGTGGTGTGTCACACAACACACTGTTTGACAGTAAACTTTTTTTACAAGTAGAAGAAACACACTCTAAAGGAGTCATAAAAGTAAAGTGCAGTACAATACAAAGCAGCAACATAGTCATTTACTATAATTATCAAGTCTTAGATGCTATACTTGTACTTACATATGCTCTGCTTTTATATCACTGGCAGGGCAATAGGGTGGTTTACACCAGCGCCACCACAAACGTGGGAAAAATGTATTGCAGTTCAGCACTAGGACAGCTACAAAGTCACTAGGTGAAAGACATTGTCTGGCCTCTGTGATGCCAAGGGACCGCCAACTTTGACTACAGGGTCACTGCAGGGCACATGACGGTATTTATGAACTTGCCAAGTGGAAGAACTGAGGCCCAAAGAAATTAAGCAAGTTGCCCAAGGCCACAGCAACAGTGACTGACCCCAGATCTTTTTAATCCCTGAGTCTGTTTCTTCCCTCTACTTCATGGTCATCAGTCTCTCACAGGCTCCAGCCTCTTCCTGAGTGGCCAGCTGCCCTCTCCTGATTGTCCTGTCTTGAGTTCACTCTCCCATCTCCTTGCTGCTCAACACCTCAGCCTCTTCCCTTTGGCACAGTCCCTCTTCACTGAGATCCCGATCCTGACACCTTGTTTTCAAAGGCAGATGAAGGCTGAGTGGGTGTCGGAGGAATTGTCACTCTAAAGAGAGCAGAATAGCAAAGAAGACAGGCAGGCTTGACAAAGTGACAATGCAAAGCCCAGAAAAAGGACTCAAGACAGCATGATTTGCTCAAAAGAGATCAAATTCTAAGGGACAGCAACTCTGTGCCACTATGACTTTAAAATTGTGCTAATAGTTTCAACCTTTTCGTCGGCAGCGTCAAAACACAAGGTACTTTTCCTTGTGCTGGAGATGTGGGAGATCTTGAAATAGGGAGATGTGGGAGAACTTGAAGTAGGGTCAAGCCCACCTGAGAAACTCCTGCAGCTTGAGACAGTACATGGGGCTTTCATCAGAAACGTCCTCTGGCAGGGCAAGGCAGCTGTCACTGGGCTTCTTGCCTCTGGTCAGCTGGGGATTCCCTGGGGGCAGTGAACAGGAAGTAAGAAGATCTGCAAGCTCTCTGTACTTCTACAGGCAAAATTAGGTCTGCATCTGTGTGTTGCTATTGCGTGGTAACACTGCATGCTTCACACATGCAAAATTCATGTGAGATCATGAGGAACAAATCTGAAAGACAGCCATCAGGGAAGGTAATTCTGCCGCATTTGGAGATGTGCCCACTGCTGTGTGTCCAGCTGGCTCAGACCACATCACGAAGCAGCCATGTGCATCACTTGCCAACTCTGTTCAGTGACTTTACATTGGTTGCCTGCAGTAGTCCAAGAGATATATACACCACGGACAGTGGCGGGTGTGCTTAACCAGGGCCAAGCTTCATCTTGGATATCCAGATCCTCCAAGGTTCCCCATGTGTAGACTTTGCCTTATTAATGTCTGTGGCTCCCAGACTCTCTCTAGTGACTCTCAAGTCCACCTGTGCTCTGCTCAAGCCATTCTCCTGAACTCCATCCCCAACTTACGCTGCCCTTTGTGCATCTCTTTCTAGATGCAATGATCTTTCCTAAAAGGCAGCTCTGGCTCTAGGTGCCCATCGTGGGGAAGGAGGCTCCCATCCCCAAACTGAGATCTACAGTCATTCTGGGCCCACTTGCTTTAAAAATTCTGGTAAGCCATGAGGTTCTACTGATTCTATCTCCTAACACTTCTAGCCTCTGCTCCATTCCCTTATAACTGCTTTGGCCTCATCATCTTTGTATTTCATCTGCTTCTGTCTATCTCAAACCATTACAAAATAATTTAGACTTCTATGAGCACTTTCCTACTCTAATCCCTCCCATAACTTGTCATGCTCAGGAGTAAAGTGATAGTAAAGCCCACAGCGTGAGATCACTCGTGACCTTGGCCCCGCCTGCTCCACCACTGTCACTGCCCACGGACCTACTATGCGTGGGCCACAGTCCCAAAACTGTTGCAGTCTCTAGACCCTTATTTGTACCCTGAGTCCCTGCACGCTTGCAGAAAGGTATCGTGCCTACTTTTCCTCTGGTAACCTTCTGCTCATTCTGCAAAACCATGCTCAAGCACCCCTTTTCTAAGTCCTCTTGGAACTGTCCCCCATCTCAGGGGAGCAGGCTGTGTTATCTCTGAGGAGGTGACCCTTGAGTTAAGAGCTGAAGGATGCAAAGAGACCACGATAGACAGCTCAGGGGAAGTGAATCTCAGGTAGAAGAATCAGAAGTGCTGCCCTCAGTGCAGAAAGAAGTGATGGGCACTCAGACCCATCCACTGCGAAATTCCAGTAGGCATTCCACTGCCCCACAGGCGCCATACTGACAGGCTGGTGCTAGAACTGCAGGGACTTGGACTTCTGCATTTCCAATGCCTCTGCTCATCAAGGAGCAGAGGGACAAGAATGGTAGAGGGTACAGAGGGTCATGCTCAGTGGCTGGATTTCTTGCCAGGTGTTTGAGGAGGGCTGCCATGTCCAACAAACATACTAACATCCCGGCCACGAGTCAGCAAATTGAAGTGCTGGGCGTTGGGATGGGGATGAAAGCACAGGCACGGCGTGGAATGCTCTGGAAATTACCAGATGCTCAACTCCTGACTTGCTATGGGCTTTGCCTCACATGCTGCCTTGTCAGAAGTGCTGCCTCTCCTTCTTCCCCAGCCCCTTTCACTTTCCTTCACAGCACTTCTCACCTGAGGTTTCCCTGTTTACTGGAGCATGTGGGTGCTGCCCTCTCCCTCACATACAGCCGGAGTTCCGTGGGGTAAGGACCCAGTTCCTCCACTCTTCCCCTGGCTCTGAGAAAGAATGCCTGGCCCACTGCAGTAGAAACGGTGTTTACAGTGTGCTAACGGCTTCCACTGCGATTTCATGGCTCTGTGTACTTACTGAAAGAGAAAACAACAGAAAGAATTTCCATATATGTGAAACATAATGTGTCCAATGAGCTATTTTTTAAAGAATAGGAGTGCGGTGCCCATCCTGCGCCAGCCACTTCCCTCCCAGAGCCCCACTCATCTTCAGAGTGTATCTACGAGGTGGTATGTACCAGCAAGTCCTTCACCTTGTGTGTGGCTGTGCTTTTTCATACCTCCACACTCAGTGAGAGACCCTGCCTGGGCCTCAGGACTTGTGCTGTCTGTGTCAGGTTGACATCTCTAAGCGAGTCACCATTGCCTTGGGTGTGGAGGTCACCAGGGAATCAGAACACTGGGGTCCTACGTGTGTGTCTTTATGTTCTGAGCCAGTGGTCAGTACAAAACAGGACAATGATGCACACTTGGCAATCAACTTTTGCAACTGCTCAGACCACAGAAGACATCGTGTGGGGTACAGGATGGAGGGGACACAGGAAGATGACAGCTGAGTAAGATGTTGGGTCTTAGAGCCCAACCTTAGACAAGGGTACAGCCTTGTGGAGTGTTAAGATTTGTGTCTGGATGTCCCCCCAAAGCTTCATGCAGTCATGCAGCTGGCTTCTACAGTTTATGATTGATCCATGGTCCATTGTTGGGATTATAGGTCTGAGTGATACACCTGCCCTGGGGGAGGTAGTTTGCATACAATGTAAGGATGGGAAAGAGGCTGCTTAATACTGCTCCTCCCTTTTGCTCCTGTTGCTTTTGCTGTTTTCAGCCATTGTGAGCCGTTTCCTTCTGCCATGTACCACTCTGCCTTGGAGCCAGCGAAATATGGACTGAACCCTCCACAAACTGCAAACTAAATAAACCTTTCCTTCCTCAATTCTGGGTGTCAGGTATTTTGTCTCAGCAACGAGAGAAAAGTAATCGAGATGTGGAGGTCAGGTCTGGGTCACAGAGGGTTCAGTCTCTGAGGAAGCACTGTCCATTGCTTTCACTGAAGTCCTCCCAGCCATGTCTGGAGAGGGCCATTGTCGTGGAAAACAGTGGCTTTTAACTAGTGGGGAGAAAACCCCAGCGGGAGAATGCCAGATGCAGTCAAGATTTCCCAGTGGTGGAATAACTTCCTTCCTTATGCCCATTTGCAGCCAGGAGAAACAAGAATTGGACAAGTTAAATGGTACAAAGTCAAACAGCAAGTGATGGTAAAACAGAACACAGGACTCTTCGCCTCTGGGGCTCCCAAGATTTCCTTATCAAGAGGAAATCAACCTAATCAAGAGGTTGTGAGGCAGGAGGCAGAGCAAGGGCCAGTAAACAGCAGAAAGCCATGGGGCAAAGGCTTGGGAAACCAGACAGTGCAAGGATGACTATGTCAGAATACCAGGAAACCAATAGACAGAGATCTCTCCTTCCCCCAGGCATGTGCAAAACTGTAAGTGTGCAACCGTAGTCTGCATCCAACTTCATCTGCATTATGGACCCCCCACCCCCCACCAAAGGGTGGATTTGTGGCAATGACATGTCTTCTAAAAACCTTGTATGCTCAAAAGCTCCCCTTCTTGACAGGTGGGCTAAGTCAGATACCTGGTTGGGCCACGACTTTTGTCAATCCCCAGCTATAGATTCTCCCATAATCCCAGGACCTTAAGACACCTAGCATTTGCTCCTCTGGGGGCCATGATTTCTTCTCACTGGCCCTCTCCCACCCTGTGGAGTGTATCTTCACTTCTTTTGCTTTTAATAAATCTTACTCTTGCTCCTTTCAAGTATCCTGCTCAGTTCTTTGTTCAAGACACCAAGAACCTAGACAGAATTTCCCTGAGATTCCTTCAGCTAGTAAGAGTAGCACAAGTTCATTCCCCACCAATGGAAGGTGACCCTAAGGGCCATTCGTGGTAATATTTTAAGTGAACGAGAAATGGAGGTTTCCGAGGGCTATGTTGGTGGTTTCCCACGCGACCACTAGAGGGCACCCGCACCTCACAGATCCGTGGTGGCATCCACTCAGGTGGGGCTCTTTGAGACCAGGGAAAACCTTCCTCATACCAAGGCTTCACAGCAAACTGAGAGCTTTCGCATTTCTCTCTTCCTGCCAGTCTCCGGTTCACAGCCCACCACTCATTAGATGTGGGAGTAACGGATGCCTCCTGCTTGGGGGAAGTTTCAAACCTCCACGGACAAGGCTTTGCATTACACTCGGATCTGCCTGTGGCTGGACTGGGACCACCTCTGTCAGCCCCAGTCATGATATCATCGTTTAACATAGGCATTCTCGAGCTAACTGATGTGGTGGCCAGGAGTGTACATTTGTACCATGTGCAGAGGATTCTGAAGCCACACAAAGGTTGAGAACTGCTGCATTCCAGCTCTCAGAGGTCACACTCCGGATCAGCCTCACCCAGCGGCTGCAAGGCCCCAGAGGGGCCGCTACTTGGGGCTGCTGGACCCAAATTGCAGTACCTCAAGCGGTGAGACAAGGCTGCACCCCCGGCTCCTGCAACTGGGAAGACCGAGTCTTCGCCAAGGTTTGATCCCGCGGGGCACATCTGGAGGCAGCAACCCTTAAAGGGTAAAACCCTTTTGCTTTGGTGTCGGTACCCTTGCAGAACCGTGAACACAAGACCGCAAGAATGAGCTTTTTTGAGGGAGATTTCTTCACTACCTTTCCCAGCAGATTTTGATGTTCCTCTAAGCTGGACTTTGGAAATCAAATTAGAATCCCTTTGGAATCAGAAACAGGGACACACTGTTCCATGATGCCTGATATGGTTTCTCCCAGTGTTCACATGTTGATAATTAAACCTTCAAATTCCATGTTACTGGTATGTGGAGGTAGGGTCTGGGGGAGGGAATTAAAACAGGTGAGGTCACGCGGGGGGAGCCTCCATGATGGCATTAGTAACTTTAGAGGAACAGGAAGAGAGGCCCAGACTAGCACACCTGCTGTGTCTTGCCTGTGGTACCTTCCACCATGTTGTGATGCAATAAGCAGGCCCCACCAGAGGCCAGCATCCTTGGTCTTCCAAACCTCCAGCAACTAAACTTCTATTCTTTATAAACTACCTGGCCTCAAGTACTTTGTTACAGAAATGGAAAATGAACTAAGACAGCACCCTCCTATTTATAAAATGTCCTCACTGGTTGCCCGGTATCAGGAGTCTCCTTTCTAGAACATTCTAATTGAGTTCCTTCCTATGTCTGCAGGATTAAGAGTACAGAGCCAGTGACCCCTTCACCCACCAGAGAACTTCAGCTAAGTATGTTCTGAGTGCCAAGGTTTCCTCTGAACACTCAGGGAGGGCCTAGGAAAGACACGCCCTTTGTCTTGAAAAGAAATGAGAGATGAGAAAGAGAGAGGGGAGAAGCAGAAATCCCTGAGCAAAGGTGTGAGGTTTTCTGGAAGACTCCGCAGAGTGGGAACCCCTTGGGATCAGACCCCTGTGGAGCTGCTGCTATGAATGCGGGGTCTGTGTCCCCAGTTTCTAAATTGGGAGTGAACTGTGAGAGGGAGAAACAGACAGACCCTTCCAGTGTCCCAAAGGTGCCCAGCCTGCAGGCGACACACCCACTGCTGAGCAAGCCCAGCAGGGGGACTGCCATCTAGGCTCGCCCCAGGTGAAAAACAAGTGCGATTAAAATGGTGGCTGTTGGGAGCTGGGGATTTAGCTCAGTGGCACAGCACCTGCCTGGCAAGCGCAAGGTTGTGAGTTTGATTCCCAATACCGGAAAAAAATAAAATAAAATAAAATAAAATGGTGGCTGTTTAGGTCCGGAAGTTCTGACATGGCCTGTGATGTGATAGTAGATAAAATGATGTCTCCCTGTAGTGAAGGCTGACCCCTCACTCAGCGCAGTTCAGTGATGACCGAGGAGAGGCAGTGCTCTGCACCAGCAGCCTGCAGGGATTCAGCGTCCTTCCATGGGGTGGCTTCGTCATCTTCTGGGGCCTCGGCTACCCAGGGGCTTCATACCCAACCACACATAAGGGATGGGGACAGTGGAGGGGGCTGGTGGAGGGGGGACCAGCAGGTCTAAAAAGGGCCCATAACTAGGTTGGTCAAGAACTCAGTTATACAACCTTGTCCAACTGAAAGCAGGCTGGGACATATTGGCCACATATGTGACCAGGATACAGCAATGTGTGGGTTTGAAGTGACTCACATGTTACTTAAAAACAATAAGAACAAAAATCTTTTAACATATGACAAAGGCTGATGTACTAGAATATGACCACATGGTTTAGAAAATCCTTAGAAAGAAACTATTTTGCCTTAAGCCAGATGTCTAGTCAGCAAAATAGTGATAGAACTCTATCTGGGTTTTGAAGAGTGAGTAGGAGTTTGCCAGGCAGAAGAAGGTGGTGGGACTAAGCAAGGCATCATGAAAGAACACAGAATATAAAGACGGTCATGAGGAAACCAGAACTGCAAAAATGAAGAAAGCTAAATTTGGGTCCCTTGGCCTGAGCCCCTGAATTATGTGCTCCAGAGGGAGTCCTGGGTCATTTGGTAACAGGAACATTTACGCTTAAGTTGTTTTGAGCTGGATTGAGTCATCTCCAAATAAACTAGCCTTCATGAATAATTCTTCTAAACTATAGGACTCTTTATTTCTAAGAAAATGAGAACCATTTTTATAGGCAGCTGAATTAGATAGAAATATTATAGGCAGTCAGACAGGGCCAGGCCCTCCAAGGAGCCAACATGAAAGACAAGATAAGACACCTGTGGGCCAGACCACAAGACAAAAGGACTAAATGAATGCAGCCACATACCTCCCTAGGTGTGAACATCAGGGACTGATATTCTAAATAAGTAACAGCCACCTTCAAAAAGCCAGAAAGAGTCACTAGCCCAACCCCCTACAGGAAAAGCCCCTGTTCTGTATTCATGCCCGCTTGTTATGTGACTCACTTCCCCATTTGATCCCAGTTTACTCAATTTTACCTGAACTATTATATTGTAATCTTATTGGCTGACCATAGTCTTGTCCCACCTCATGGCCACCTTGCAATTCCCATTTTCTCCCTATTCTTGGACCCGCCTCACCTTGGGGTTTTCCTCTATAAAGTCCCTGGGAAGGGCAAGGTCCTTGGCAACCCACTCGGGCCCCCTTCTGACACTCTCTTGGACAGAAGCTTTCTTTCCCTCAATAAATATATTCTACTTTTTACCTCCATTGTTCCTAAAATTCATTCTTCAATTTTAGAGAACACGAACTCATCCCAAATATCATTCAGGTTGGGAGTTTTTATTTTCCTGTATCACCATGACACCACCCATGCTGAAAGTCTGAAAATGTTGTGGACGACTTGATAATATAATTGCACACAGCGTCCTCCATCAAATCTTTATTGCCCCCACCAGGGTCCTTGATTAGTTACTCCATTACCTAGTCCTTGAAGGCAAAATCATTCTCATCTCTGTAAGCAGTTTACGCCTCTGTGATAGCAGTCCTATAAGATATCACCTGGTGACACTGCAGCTGTCCTCGAGTGGTTAAGTACACTCTATGATGTTTGCACAGTGATTGAATTGCCTAATGCCACATTTATCTATGTTTTGTTTTGTTTTGTTTTGTTCTGGTACCAGGAATCGAACTCATGACCTCGCGCTTGCCAGGCAGGTGTTGTGCCACTGAGCTAAACCCCCAGCCCCTGCCACATTTATCTAAATATATCCCTAGGGTTGAGTAATACAAAACTTTGTAAAGCTGGCTAGCTTCCTGCCTGGTGGCTCCCGGAGGGTGGGCCCCCAGCGCACGGGGAGCCTCGGGCTGGGAGTGCCAGCCTTTGGGGTCTTCGGACTGGCGACTCACTCCCGGCCTCGTCGTTCCCCGGAGGGAGGGCTTCCGGCACACAGGGAGCCACGGGTGGGGATTGCCAGTCTTCCGGCTGGCTAGCTTCCTGCCTGGTGGCTCCTGGAGGTGGGCCCCCAGTGCATGGAGCCGCTCAATTGAGATCTATCATGACACAGAGAAACAGTGACACAATTGGCCCAACATGCACCGACTGCAGTTGCCCACCCACAGATGTGTGTGAATCATTGAAACTTTGAACAACCCCTGGGAATACACGCCATACAATGGGCCACTCTTGCTCCTGCCAGTGAGAACCACAAAGGTCCAGAGCCAGCGGAGGAGCAGCTGCTGAACAAGGACTCAGAGAACATGAGAATGCAGACTAAGCCCATGGAGTCAGAGGTCCAGTGGACTGGGGTCACGAGAGCCACTTGGAAGCTGTAAACCAGGAGGACCTTGCACAATACCTGCAGAGACTCATTGGAAGCCATTCTTCCCCTGACAGTACAGGCTGTGGTGGAGCTCTGGAGAAGTCTGCAGCAGGATTCCTGCTGCCTGTGCTGACAGCTGGGGAGAGGACACAAACTGGTTGTGGGGTCCCAAAGCAATGGGAAGCTGGAGAGAAAAAGCTACAAAGAATGGCTTTCACCCCAGACAGCTCACTTGAGATGTTAGTAAGAATTGCCTCCTCAGTATTCTATAGCCACGAGGAGGAGGAGGCCAAGGAGAGAAAACAAAGAGACTGAGAAAAAGCAGCTGCTTTTGCTGCACCACTAAGAGAAACAGATCCCAGGTCTGATTCCCGGGGCCCCAAGAAGAACTCGACAACTGCATTCATCTGCTACCACTGTTAAAAGCCAGGCCACCTCAAGAGGAACTGCCCTAAGAGGCCCCATGGGCCATGCCCTGGATGCAAAGGAGACCACTGGAGATCGGTCTGCCCTCTGAGGTGGAGGCCCCAGAGCTCACACCCATGCTACCAGTTAGTCCAACAGGAATGAGAGGGCTTGGGGCATGGTCTGCCTTCTCCCTCTGGCCAGACCGTCATCTCCATCAAGGAGTCCTGGGTAATCATGACTATGGAGGAACAAGAAAACAGCCTGTTGCTAGACACAGGTGCAAGTCTCTCGGTCCTTCTTTTCAATCCTGGCCTTCCTTCCAGCTGTCATACCTCAGTGAAAGGAGTCACTGGTGAGGAGGTAATATGTTATTTTTGACAACCCTTAGGCTGTAACTACTTATTAGATCCTTCTTGCATATCTCTGTCTTCCTGAGAAACCACTTTGAAGATACCACCATGTATTACAGCAGCCATTGATATTTTCCTACTAATCTATCCATAACTGTGTAAAGTTTGTAATGTTTCTATCCTATTTCATAAATGGATGTATGTGTATTATTATGTGTTTCCTACAACAACCATTGAGAATAGTTAATGATTTTTCAATAGGCCACTCATGTATAGCTCTATTTATTTTCTTTAGAAGCCACTTTGAAGATACCAAAGTATAGCACAACAACTCTTGATAATCTCCTACCTCTTTTGTCTCTAACTCACTATTATTTCTCTATTTGTTTTCCTGAGAAACTATTTTGTAGATAATAATATGTAAAACGATAACCATTGATAATTTCCTACCATTTTGTCTGTAATTTGCTAAGTCCCCCCTATTATTATGTTATCCTTCTTTTACTCTTTAAAATAAAAAAAAAAAACCACAAAACTCTGTAAAGACACGATCATGGAGTGAATTGAGGAAATGAAGAATATCTAATGGAAATGTTACACAGATTAAGTGAGATTATCCACGCAATACACAGTTCCTGGCATATACTGTACTAGGTACCCCAAGAGAAAATATTACAGTCACTATTGTTCCTCTCACAACAGCCCTACCCTGCCAAGTACATACACATTTATGCACTGAGGGCTTACATAGGGCTTAATTGAAAAAAGGGAAAATGGGATTTGCCTTGTCTG